AAATGACATCCAACAGCTAGATTGCTTTTCTTGACAGAGTTTCAAAACATTAGCTCGCTCTATATCACAACTGCAATTGAATTAGCTTAAGAAGTTGTGTTCGTCTTCAAGAATGTGTATTAAGAATTGGAAGGTAGATGAAGACCAGGCTAACATATCATACATTTTCGTTGACACCTTTGTTGTAATTTTGCTGTGAAGTATGTGCATAGTCACTTCGAAAGGCCGCAACCCACACCTGATAACTATGCCATGGTTAGAATTCTTTACTTACTACACTCCAATATTAGTTGAAATTTTGATCACAAACTCAATTGAGTAGCCATTAATCAAGTTAACTTACCTGAAGTGGAAGAAGAGCAAAGAAGTAGAAAAGAAAAAAACACAGTGGAGGAACGGCAGTGTAGGGCAGGGATTAGGGAGACAAAGGAGGGCATGTAAACTACTTTCCTTGCTCTTGTTTTTAATGAAGTGCATACTTGGAGCATGAGTTGAAGAGGCAAATATATTTTGACTAGCACAAGGTACCGAAAGGGAGAAGAAATTTGGAGAAGTAGAATTGTGTTGACGATTGATGATGGTGAATTGATGGTGGAAAGGAGTAGCCATAGTTGTACAAGGCCAGAGACAAAACGAGACGTGAGAGAGTGAATGAGTTTACATCTACTGATGATTTTGAGGTAAAGCGTGATGGAAAGTGCAAGTTTGGGGAGGAGCGCAGAAAGATCTAAGAAGTTCAGCCGACGGACCTCCACGTGAAAGTGGGCAGACTTGAAACTGCGATGAGAAAGTAAGGAGGGAGAATCAGCAAGCGTCGGATGGACTTGTAGGCGGCAGCATCTGTGACAATGAATAGTCTGTGAATCTATAAGGGCATAATGGAGTTCGACGGCTAGCGGCTACAACTTTGGATTAGAATTGGCTCCATCTTGACGGCTACTGTGGAAGAAGTGACTTGTGGGTGGTGATTCCTATAGAGGGCTTGTTTTTCGGGTAGAGAGTGGTTGATGGCATGTGCAATTCTGTTGCGCAAAGTTGCGGCTAGAGCTGCGGGTGAGTGCCAGCTGTAGGAGATTCGAGCGATTCATTCTGTTCGTTTGATCTAAATGTTCTATTCTCAGAGCGGAGCTAGGGAAAAAGTGCAGAACGAGAAGAGAATGACAGCGGAAAATGAGCTCCGAATCGATATTAATACAAGAGGAGGGTGACAGTGGGAAGTGAGTTCGGAATCGATGTTCAAACGATAGGAGGGTGAATGTGGAGAGTGAGTTTTGGAAGATATTTCAAAGGAAAGGAGAGAGTATCAAATATAAAATTTTGTCTCAATTTAATCTTTGAGCTTATGATTGTATGCGATCTTTACGGCAACACACAAGAGACAAGCATTTTTCATTTTCTCTCCGTATTGAGTTCAATCATTTGACCCCATAGATAGGCAGCTTTGGAGAAAAGTCTTCATGGCATACAATATTAGCTCACGGTATGATATTGTGACTTGACTATAGCTTCATGCACAAAATGAGTAGCAAGAAAAAAGTATTGAGTATTACAACCTCCGGATAGACTCTCACTCAAATGTACCAGAGATGGCTTTGCAGTAGCTCATCATGGTTCTAGAAGGCTATGAGTACTACTCATATCCATATTCCAAACACAGTATCATACATACACTCAATTCATCAATCAAATTCACCCACACATCAATACTCCAAGATATTAAAAAATGTCACTCTTTCAAATATAAAGTAAGTCTCTATATATGATCTCTCCAAACTTGCTTCAGAGTCTATTCCCTACCTCTCTATGTAAACTACTTGAGAATTTATCATAGTCAAAAATGATAATTTTTATCTAATTTACTTTTACAAAGATACACCATAGTAAGTTTGACTAGTTTCTAATACGTGGGAACATGTCATTGGTTTCCTTAACCTTCTAGATGTTTATTAATTCCTACATTGAGGTGGCGACACGCAATTTGTGACTTTCAAACTTCTAGAACCTCCATTTGCCATTAAATCAACATTAGACCTAGGCTAACAAATGAAGTCATCATTATTTATTCAAACCAATCAAAATCAAATATGAAGTCAACAATCTTTTCTCTTGAAATCTAGACTTTTTTACAATACAAAATAAAAATTCTCACTCAAATCTTCTAGAACTTCTCTTCTTATGCCGCCAAGTATAGACATTATAGCTAAAGATAGTTATAACTTGATAAATTTAGTTATAACTAGCTAGACTTAGTCATAATCAAACTAATCATGACTAACTCATTAGCTACTTCTAGTTCTACTAGAAGTAGCCAACGAGTTTGTACTCTCTCTTTCTTGAAGTGCTCCTATTATGGAGTAGGAGTAAAACTACTTGGTTATAATTTCTACTAGTCTATGATGATGGAAAATACATGACATTTTCTGAAAATTTATCTATACTTCAAGCCAAGATGTGATTATTGATTTCTTGATTATTGTGGGAAGCTAAAATTTCTCCCCATGCAAAATTAACTACATTTTGCCATTCTAATTAGTTTACACTACTTCTTTGCTAGGGAAAGTTGGTGGAAAAAGTAGAATGTAAATAAAGCTAGAAAACTATGTTGCAGTAGATGTGATAAAATCGTAATAGCGCTAATTGAAAAGTTAGCTGGACACGAAACCGGTATCTGGTTATTTTTTTGAATTATTTCCAAACAAGAAGAATGTGTCAAGTAGATATAATCCGAACCTTCTAAGTATAGATCTAGGGCTTCTAGAATACTTGAGTAAGCTCTGTAAGGCTAAGTAAGGGACAACAGGCTGCTAGCAGCGGAAAGCGGTGACCAAATGAAAGTCAGATATGAAATTCTTGGCAAGTGAAATCTGAAGATTTCTGGTGGAGCATAGGGTTTTGGAGACAATCATAGTTGCCGTAGTTAGGTTTAAAGTTTTTAGTATTTAAACGCACTTAGGGATTTTGTATGGCACTCTTTTTTTGCTTTTTTATGCGACTTCAATCTGTTTTGCACCTCTTGCGTTTTCTGTGTGTAACGTCAGGCTTGGGTTCTTGCCGAATTTATGAGTGCTGCAGGGCCGGATCCGTTACTTTGTGAAAGGAAGTCTCGGATCCGTTTTTAGAGGAAGATTTGTGATGAATGTGTTCTAGTGTGTGATGGGAAGGTTTCCTCATTGTTGTGTTTACCTATATAACGTCTGTGTGAAATAGCCGCTACTATCACTGAATAGTATACAATGAGTTGCTCCGGATATGGCAACTCTGGATGTACGCCAGTTTGACCTTCTTATGAGGTTCCACAGAACTCGGACGCGGTAGTTTAGGATATGACACGGGGCTCTTTCTTATCCTATACGGTTCAACCCCCACTCTGAGTCCAGATCCGGATGTCATTGTAGTCATTGTTTGGAGTTTGTGAGAATTTTCTGCATGATGTGCTAATGACAGCTCGGAATAGTTTTGAAAAGCTAACTACACCTCTTGTTTTAGTTTTTTTGTTTTTATTTTCATAGTGCCTCTTCCGTCACTTTAATCGCAAGAAAAGTAGGAGCCATAATTCCACAAGACCAACGGCGGCCTCTCATATAGAGGTAAAACTTTTATTTTGTCACTTGTTACATTTGTTGACCTTTGGTATCCGGAAAGCTAATAGAATCCTACTTGGACGTCTAGATCCGGTTTTTGGAGTATCATTTGTGAGGTTTCAATCTCGGGTCATTTGGATTGTACTTTGGGTTTGTTGTCAATAAATACCATGTCTTGAAACTCCTCCTACTCCTCGTACTTCACAGGATTCTTGGAACGAACACTCTAGAGAGATCTGACTTTATATACAATTCTAGATGATCTAGAAATATATATAAAAAAAAATATTTTTCATCATTAGAACTTTAAAGTCTTAAAATCAGAATGGCCAAAAATCAAATAACTTATCAATGCGAGTATTACATTTTTTAACTTGAATATTATATTTCTAGAAATATAACTATTGTAGTTTGTTTTAAAGAATAATTAAATGGATAAAAACTTAGGTATTTATGGCATCTTTTGACATGCACGTTCAAATTGATAGTGCCCTGACTAATAAATATACTAAAACATTTTAGATACTAAATTTAATAATTTACCAATTTTTCAAAAAAAATCTATTAAATTCATCAATTTTTTGCATGATTTTATATCCAAAAGGAACATGACTATGCTCATAAGTTATTTCACTAAAAATATCAAACACTGATCATAAATAAATTGACTAGCAGCACCATTGAAGGATCATGAGATCTTCAGTGCTCACTTAGCTATTTATCAGGCAAATAATAGTTAAAAAAAACTTTCTACTACTTTATGTATTTACCATGATTTATAATTGATAGTATGAAATTTGATATATCTTAGAGGCTTGTGGACACCATGACTTTAATCCAACCTTGCACTTTTCTGGATTTCATTAGTGCGTACACAAACAACTTAACCTAACATCTCCCCGTCATATCAACGATCATGAATTATTGATATCTAGCCCTTCAAGCATAAGACGATGTGTGAATCGTGTGCTGCCAAATATGATTTTGATGACAATGGTTGGCCACGAATATTTTTTTGGATCCTAACGGGTGATAGAGGTCAGTTGCGAGTCTTAATGAGTGTGATGCACCCCAGCAAACATGATTAATTTCTCGCACTAAATAGGAATGAAGACAATCTTAGGGGTTCCTCTAGTTGTATAAAATCTTTCCTTCCTTAGATTTTGCTTCTTGACTGGTTTTTCATCGAGCTTTTAAGCCATGCTTCTGCCCCTGGTCGTAATTTCTAATCTCCCTTTTGACATATGTGCGTCCTGCACTGGAAGATAAACGAGCCGATAACTGACGGACTGATGAAAGTGCAAGTGAATTGCTCAGGCTGGCATCGCCGTGGTCCATCCCATCAACAAATTTTCAACATAACATCACATCACACCCCCTTTCCTTTCTCAAGAACGGGAAGGCACTCTGGCTTGTGAGTCAAACTTTGGAGCCCATAATTTATTCAGATGGTGATCTGCATCAGCATTCTGTCTGATGGAATTTACAAGAAGTGCTCTTATTCTGCAACACTCTCGAAACTACATTCTACGTTCTCTATCTACTGCAGATATTTGAGAAACCTGTAGAGCATCGGAGCTGTATGTCATGCTTTCTGAGAGAAAGTCTCCTCCTTTCATCGGTTTCATGGATGTCAGTATGGAGCAGAGTTAGCACAGTCCAGATTTGCGCCAGGATCTACACCCAGAATGTTACAGAAGTTCTTGTAATAATTAACACGTTTGTTGGCATTGTCATTCCATCTTCCACATTCGAGTCCACCATTGATGATGTTGATTGTTTCTCCAAATCCGGCTCTTCTGTTGGCGTTGATATCAGCTTGACTAGGGTTCCACTTCCCCACCATCACGTCGTGAATTGAAGGGATATTCCAATCACTTCTTGTCCAGAACCAGAAGGATGACCGGAAGGAGATAACTCCATTTTGAGCCACAATGTCTGGGTATGCTAAGATATCAGCTCCGATGCCAGTGTCTCTCGCAGCGCCGTAGTTGTAGTTCCTGCATCAGGTAGGTACGTCACACAACACATGAACCTTCTGTAATTGACCTGGATTACTGACAAGAAAAAAACGTTGTTGTAGGGAGGATTGTCCCAGCTTCTAAGAATTTATCTGTCTTTGGGAAGTTGGAATGTACCAGCTGAGCTGAAGTGGACCTCGGCCAAAGTACTTCTGACCCCAAGCGCATGGATACTGTTGATTCCCACTATCACAGTAGGAATTGGATTGGTCTATTTCCCTGACGTAGTACAAACCTGCAAAACCATTTTAGAACCAGTATACAATGAGAAGGACCCAACTCCAACAAATTTGCATTTTGCATCTGGTTGGCTCCAATAGGCATGCGCAGATTACTGGTGTGCAAAACCTCTCCGAGGCTTGTAATCAACTTTAAAAGGCTTTCCTGCGCTCAACAAGTAATGTCATGCACAGAACCTGAACCAAATGAATTCGCTTCAAGTGGGGACTCTGTGAGATTTCACAGATGTGAGATTCACCTGCAGTTTCCTGTTGTACGTGGGCTGCGAATGCAGCAATCTCTCTGAGCCGTTGCTGTTTACTACCTTCAGTGCCTATTGTAGGATAAGATTTGCCTGCTTGTACGAAATTTTGATAAGTGTAGATGGCATTTCGGTTCGGAAATAGCCGGTTGTACATATCCTCGCTTATAACAGAGGCGATTCCCCCACCACCAGAGGGAGTAGAACCACCACATTGGCTTTGACAGCCTGCACCACAATAGGGATCGGTGTTTCCACACCAGCCATACTGGCTGCAGCATAGGCCATTCGGACAAAGGGCAAAATTGGCCTGTGAACCACACTGCTCAGCCACAGCCGATTGTACCACTGATACCAGCACCAGCAGTGCTGACGCGATCACTATTTTTGAGTTTTCCATGTTTAGCCTCCTTTATACCGAGCCTGATCCTGATCATCCAAGGGAAAAAAATCTTAATGACTTGTGACAAACAAATCGGTCACGAACTCTGTACCCTTACGTGTAAGAGGATTGAAAGCCTACATTAAAACATGCACACATTTGCAGCGAACATCATCAGAAATCTGCTGTACAGCTGCCTCAATTTAGGAGGAAACAGGTGCATCTCCATGATCAGTTGAGGATTTGTACCTGACGAAGTCAACCTGTAACTCCCGATTTGTGTATCTACCCAGGCTCTCATCTCAGGGTGAACTCTGGAGAAATCTCGAGGCTTGAGTCCATTATGTAGTAGCAGAAACGATCAAAGGTCATCACATGGTTGCCATGACTTTCACGACCCATATGGCGATTTCCATGGGCACGGATACACAGATGTCACTCATGAGATCGCGGACATTTATTAATCTGCATCCATATCAGAACAAACAGTGGCGACTCGTAGGAACAGCGACCCATCTCTTGGACTTAAAAAGCTATATCTTAGATGGTCTTGTTTGGTGGATAGAATCTGTTCCAGCACTGCTGCATCCAAGTAAACATGGTCTATTGTCAAATGACCGTCCACGAGCCCCAGTCCCGACTCATTGACTCTCCGTTTCAGTGCAGAAGACTCACTACATCCGGCAATAAGCAGCTCGTATCTGGCCGGGTGGGGCAACATGATCGGTTGGAATAATTTCATACTTGGAATCTGTACATCTGGGAGGAAACTACAGGCTTAGATCGAGATGGAATTTATATTTGATGCTTACTTGACCTTCGAGATCCCCGAGAGTATGCATCGACAATCGAGTCACTGGACTTATCTGGCGTACAAATAAGCCTTCGTGCATGTGTATATGTGAGTCTATGTGGTAGAGATAATGTAATATATACTTCGACATAAAAGTAAGAAGCCCACTGGAAGAAATGATGGCCTGCTTGATCCGCCATGTTCGATCTTCAACATCCTTATGAAATGAACTCACTAACTTTGAGTACATTTCATTGTGATTGTATTGCTTGTGCTTATTGTTAACATGTGTCTGGATGAATCCGAGCTTGATGAGACCTTGACCACTTGATAAGTTCATCTCCTACTTGGACCATGATCTGGAGCAGGAACGTGCTAGCACTTTACTAATGCCTTCGATCTTAATGGTAGTGACTGTGTTTGGAAAAGCTCCGCTTTCAGATTCTTCATGCCCACCACGTCAGTGCGTTTTATATTCGGGGAGTCCTGTGTACATCTGTCTATCCTTGACCATTTCTCAACCACTCACAAGCGAGTTTCTTTCCGTGCAAATTACACATTCTCATATGCATACGCAATTCCTTCATGACGCCCGATGAGGTTTTCAAGAGTCTATCATTCGCTGTGATAGAGTTATCCGTCTCTTGGGCATTAAAAAACTAACATGACTGCCGCAGCGAATGTTAATATACGATATGCTTACAGGTACAGGTGCTTGCTTTTTACTTCATACCCTCCAGATTCAATCTTTTGTCCTATAGCAGCAAGATCGTGAGGCAAATAGTACAACCCAATGTTCGATTACAATCACGAGATCTGGTGTACTGTACTAAGTATTTACAATGTCTCCGTTTCGTCTCACAAAGTCTGTCCATGATCAACTCGTATTTACGTTTATATAGGGTAAAATGGAAATTTAGGTGTGATCAAATATCATGAAGAGGGTTGTCTCGGAAGGGCTTTCGTCTCCTGCATTGTTTCAGTCCATGCAGCCAGCAGAATTGGTTCATAATCTATGAATTCCACAGCTTTGGTAGACATTTGCAAGAGCAGTTGACATAGTTTCATGATTGAAATTAACAGCTAGCATTGACCTACATGGAATCAAGGGCCGACTGCGGATGCTTTATATTTGACGAAGAACTGAAGATTCTGCTTTACTACGGAGTTCCAAGTGTTCAAATGAGATATTTAGTAGACGGGATTCTTGGCTTATCAGCCCTAAAAAATTGATTACCTTGTTAATTTCCCGTGCACGAAGCCGATTGATTACGAAAGCTGCGTCAACGATACTAGCTGACTGCTGTCACAAATGACTAGCACCTGATCATGATGTCTGATTTCCTACCATGAGTTAAACCATGAAAAAATGGTGTTTTCAACTGCAAGTCATAACTGATTGACATTTTCTTCATAAGATGCACGCTCCTTAAAGAACATGCGAGTGAGTAAACGCTTAGGCTAACAAGACCTGCTATCATGGGACAGAAAGATAAGAGACATCTGTGAAAGTCCGGAGACGATATTTTCAAATCTCCTAATTCGCAGGAAATCTGGATTATCTTTCCAGTGCGCGAGTGTTCGTGGTTCTACCTTGACAGCAGATGCTTAAGATTCTCTTTCGAAGTGTTTCGAAGTATCATCCAGCTCTTTAAATTTATCACGGGTCCGTCACCTGAAAAATCCAGGATTGAGTACTGTGGGAACTATGGGGAGGATCTGAGCGAGGAAGAAACACTACATACCAGCATCAGTCATCAATCTGGTTGCATTACATATATCAGCAGGGAGGGATACACCACCTTTCGTGGTCTGGCATAGACCTTCTTTATGAGTGGACGTAAAATGTGAGTAGACAAAAAGAGGTTAGACAGCACTTTTTGACACAAGCGAAACGCATATAGAAGAGTATTAAAAGACGGCTTCACAAACTACTCTCAACATTCACATTAAGGCCATTCAGGCGAATCTATATACTTTTGAGATAGTCACGGCGAAAACAATTGCGAGAACACACACTTACACTTGCGAGATCCGAAAAAGCTACTATCTACTTTTTATTAAGAGGAGGGATGATCAACAATGTGAAGTGGTGACAGAAAGACCTAACGCAACTCGAATCTCCACACTGACCTGACCACCTAATAATCAATTTCCGGGAAGGACAACCCACACAGGTGGGGTGAACTACAGCTTGTATACTCTGACTACATGACGTTGACAGAATAACTTAAGTTACAAACATTCCCTAGACTACATTGACCACAATCGTCATTGTTGACGCGTTTGGCTTTTAGGTAGAAAGTCATACTTCCGGAAAGGCATGTTGATCGTTCGACCTGTTAGCAGTTGCATTACAAATATTCAACAAACATGTTAAATGAGATAATGTCCAAAACAATATATCCTAACAAAACTCACTGCTTAAAATGCTACTGAAGAGGTTACGACGTATTAGACTTTTCAACTAACTAAACAGACTTTTCAACTCAGAAAACCATGAATCAAGGACCGATTTAAACGTCATGAAGTATCAAAACGGCTTCCACTACGACCTGTAATCCGATTGTTAGTATCTCCTGAACCAAGTGGAATGTAGGACTGGTCGGCCTAGCGCTAAACCAGGCTCGTACCCCCTCCCCATACACAGCGATTCCCGCAGCTTATTTTCTGAGATTTAAACTCAGCTCGCTTCGCGTTTTGACTTGACGCAGATTAATTCTTCGCCAAATCACGCAGCAAGGCTGTTTGATCCTAATGAACTCGCTATCTTGACTATCGGATAGAGAAGAATGATACAATGCATACTGAACACTAACTGCAATGACTCTGAACATCTGAACAGTACAAAATCATAGGGGGTTTGAAGATCCTAATTGCTGATGGACAGGTTGCAAGATGTACCTTTCAACCGTCTGGACATGAATTTCAGCAGCTCATCGACAATAATTACCTGCGACAAACGTTAACAAAACTGTGAACACGTTTTTTCTGTGAGCAAAATACGAGCTAAGTTTGGTCTCAACCAAGCCGACTTGCAACTGAACTACAACCAGTGCATGAATATGTGAGGAAGAAAAAATGTTGTAATTGTACTGGAACCCCACACATAGACAGTAGTGAATATATTGAAGGCAATCGATTTAATTTTGTGAGTGAAACTGAAACCATCGATTGACAATGAGTGCTCACAGGAAAAGAGAACCACAGTACTGCTTTCCATTCGGACCACGATAGCGATGTAACCTGCAAGCACCATAAAGATGCTGATTAGTAGCAAGTAAAGTATACACATAAGTTAGCCTTCGATTATTACCTTCGGCACACGCTGTAATTAGGACATAAGCCAATAAAGATCAGTGAAATGACTGAAAACAGAGCGTAGAAATTATACTGAGAAAGTCAACGCCAGCGGATGAACGTAGAGGATGGCAAAATGAAGAAGCATGGACACGGTGATGGCTCCAAGTAACCATAGATTACTCCAAGGATGCAGAACCCTGTTTCAGATGCAAGGTTCTCGATGAGCATGGCGTAGTTAGCATAGTAACAGTACATATCCTTAAAAGTTGAAGAATTTAAAACATCGATTTCAAACCATTACGCAGCTATACGTCATCAAAGAAAAATTTCGGATGTATCTCACAGCAGGCTTTGGTTTTCGCTAAGATTGTTCAGAGCATTGAACATCTCCACAACTACGAGGACACTCATGGATATTGTTGATGGGTGTCGATCTTGAAATATGGTACAAGAATAGCTAGCTTGTCCTTCAACACAACTGTCAAAAGACACCTGCAGCAGTCGCACACTTGTAAGAAAATAGTCAAGACAGACTGCTCGACTACTAGACATTAAGAAGCAATGTCCCGATGTGAGATTTAGAAGCCAAGTACAGCTACTTCGAATGTTTAACAGCAAAGTAAGAACTGACAGGAGGAGTAAACCAGGAAAGCAAAGCTCACCACACGAGCTTAAAGAAACATTCAAATCACAGAAACACAGAAACATAAGTAAGTCACCATATGTGACTGACTTATCCAATTATATACATGAGAGCACACTGCCGATACTATGTGAGATCAATACCAGTTGTGCCCAGGTCAGCTTAGGGCCCTCTTCACTGAAAAGAAACCACCAAGCGAAGCCACCAACAGTCGCTAGTCCCACATAGGCTGTTCCATCCATAATTTCCAGTCCAACCAAAGTCTTTCTTAGTGATGGAGTAACCATCGTAACTGAACCACATAACTGCAAGCCGGTTGCAATTGAATTGATGGGAAAGAGGAGAAAACAACCTCAAATCACACTAACTGCTCTTCAATATCGGTAAAAGAATTTACTCACCACCAATTACGACGTAACGGAAAAAAAGCCAGCCGTTTACAATAGCCTCCTCCATCTGGATCAAAAAGATCAAATACGGCATATCAAAACCTTTTCTCTCCAGCTATGTCATGGTATTCAATGTACGTGTGTTGGATGTTGAACACCAAGGTAATTGATGATGATACCAAATCACACTATTTCCGGATCTACTCGGAATATACTAAAAAATTAGATCCGAATGCCATCGAGAAAAACTTCTGATTTAAAAACCATCGATAATAAGATGTCCATACCAGTCCAAACAACACGCAGATCTCTGATAAAACTGCAACTGCAATCGTTATGGCGATATAGTCTGTGCAATAATTAAATGAATAATAGAACAAATAATTAAAGAATAATAGAACATTAACCTTGCGAGGACGAGTCATCATCACATCATGGTCCTGCTTATTAAATCCAAGAGCTGTAGCTGGAAGTCCATCCGTCACAAGATTAACCCAAAGAAGTTGCACCTGCAAACCCACAGACATTAGGAAGGATCTTAGGCCTAAATTTCGGAGTAGAAGGACATTCTTCAGCAGATGGTAGGGAAAGAATTACCGTGCAAATTTGAAGAATTTTAATAAAATAGAAAGAATGCACTTTCATACGTACAGGTACTAGAGTCTCTGGCATTCCCACAGCTGCAGCTAAGAAGATGCAGACAACTTCTCCAATATTCGAGGACACCATGTATCTGATAAACTGCTTGGTATTATTATATATCGCCCTTCCTTCAGCAACAGCCTGTTGAAGACATTGGTGTATAATGATTACTCTCACACACCTCACCGCATGATGTAGGGTCTCTGCTCTTGACGCTATGAGAGGCACACATAAACAAGTCTACACCCAACTGCAGCTCGAGAAGACTTCGCAAACTCGAGTATTCACCCATCGAATCACTTCGTTCAAAGGCACTTGGACTTACTCAAATAGCTGAACAACAGGATTTTCGAAGTGAAGAAAAGAAAATGTAAACATATGGCGGCAACATCTATTGAATAGTAGAGTGGCTTACTGCAACAATAGTTGAAAAATTGTCGTCGGCCAAAACCATGTCAGATGCTCCCTGCAGAAATACAAGAACGAATTAGTTGATTAAATATCTTTATTCAACTGACCAATTACAGAAACAATAATGGATGAGTAGGGCGACCGGTAAAAGAGGTCAACGACATGCTTGAAAATATAGAGTTCAAAATCTTTCAATTTTTGGTTGCACACATTTCAGCCACTCCATTGAAATGGAACTCCAGAAGAGAATTGGGCCCAAACTTGGCAACCTGTAGATTTAGGTCATAACCTATACTACAGCTCAAGTCATAGCACCGGCCATCCAACAAATCACCATTTATGTCCATTCATTAAAACATGTCGTGAAAAGTGTGTAGTAATGTCTAACCTTTGCCACGGCTGTACCAGAACCCATAGCTATGCCTATGTTGGCCCTCTTCAGGGCAGGTGCATCGTTGACACCATCGCCGGTCATTGCCACCTGTACCAAGCTCTTGAATCAGTGTAGTATAATTGGAAATCAATCCACTAAATCCCTATTCGTCTAAGCCAGATTTCTCCTGCCATGTTATCAATTTCTTGATGAATGTCCAGTTGTATGAGTTGCAAGAGCTGCTAGTGATTCAATCAAGAGTCGAGGAATTTTACAACGCAAGTTTTCTAATTCCACGCTCATTATAAATTTGTCCTAAAGTCCAACTTCGATGATGTAAGGCATGACTGTCGCCAAACTCCCAGGTGAAGGAAACAATTGTCTAACTGAATGGGTGCAGGCATACTGTGTTATCCATACCACTTCGTTTTGAAGCTGCAAAGCTTCCACCAGCATACTCTTGTGCGCGGGTTCAACCCTACATATTATTGATGAACAAAACTTTCAGAGAAAACAACATATCTCCGAATTCGAGAAAATTCTCTTTCTTCTACTGAAGATAAAGAAGACATAACAGCATGGATCATTACTACTCCAAAGAATATACCTTTTCTGAGTCAGAAGTTTCGGTGACTGGTGTACCTGATCTCAACATCATATACAAAAATGATATACACTACTCGATTAGATTTGTATTTACCTGCTAAACGAACCTTCATAGAAAATATCGTGCTTACCGGGAGAAGAGGACCAATTTTCTGATTGCGAGGCTTTGCTGCATAGGAGGTAGCTCTTCAAACTCTGAAGCTGTATATGACCTCCCAGTCAAATCGTCGAGTGGATCAAACGCACCAATAAGACGACAGACAGATTCTGCTGTTGCCTGCCAGAGTGATGAGTCGACTGGATAATAAGTACATTAGGAACTTTCACCCACTTCAAAACACAAAATTTACAAAAACAAACCGAGACCAAATTGATGAACAGAATAATAATCTAAGATTGATCACAAAACCCCGAAGCAAATCAAATGCAGTACAATAACTCGTCTATAAGCTGAAAGCCAGGCTCACACTCTTGCCAGTATATTTACTCCCAAACTATGGAGCATATGGAAACTGTGGGCAAACCTTATTATCACCGGTAACGACTATGACGCGGATCCCAGCTGACTTGCATGTAGCTATGGCCTGTCTAACCTCCTCTCGTGGAGGATCTAGCATTCCAACCTGCCAAAGGATGGTAAGGGTATTTAAATTTCAAAATAGAAATAGACAAGGCAGTTTACTTTCAGATGTTCTTATTCAGAGCTTCTAACTTGCAGTCAAATCCAAATCCGTGAGATATTCGAAGTGTATAACAATAACTTGCGCAAAATCGATATTTTCGATATCATGACACTTGAGGAGGAGTAACACAATGAAATGAAGGAACAAGGCACATGATAGATACCGTGCATTATAACCAAGATTTCATATATCAATGTATCAGGTAAACTGACGTGAAGATGGAAATACTTTTAAAAGATCAGTTTGGAACTAAAATATCGGAAGCATCACAACTCTCTCAAACAAGAGGTATTAACTGATATGGAAGTTTGGGCTATATACAGATGATCTTGTAGTCTTCAAGGCGTGAGAAGTTCATTCAATCAGGCATTTCCATTTCATGAAAGATAATCTTTCAAACGGTTCCAACTGCTTTATAGACTTACCACACCAACAAATGTAAGATTGCACTCGTCTTCATAAGACATTGTTTGAGATCCATGTGGAATAGGCCTCAATGCCAGAGCCAAGCATCGTAACGTCTCTTTCTGCCCGTAGCTACACATCGACAGAAAAGTTCCGCGTTACACGTTAAAATCGGAGCTGTAAGCTCTTCGCGGGTAATTACATTTTGATCTAGCCTTATACCTTAAGTCATGCTTTGAAACTAAAAAGGCAAGGTCCAATAAATCTACAAAATGGACGGTCTCCAAGCAAACTGCACCATTCTTGATATATTCAACAGATCAGGAACAACGCATTTTGCGTCCAGGGAATTAGAAAAATTAAGCAGAATCCAACCTGAAAAGTTTCTCTTCAAGTTCAGCACGTATTTCTGAAGTCATAGGTGCGGCAGAACCATCATCATTACATAACACACTGCTACATCTGGACAAAATGCTCTCCGGGGCTCCTTTGCAAAACATTATGTCCTGGTTTTTTCGTGTGCACAGCACACTCATCATTTTTCGATCACGAGCAAATTCCAGGACTGAGACCTGTTCAGAACACTCAGGAGGTTAGAAAAGAAGTGGAAAAACACCTGCAGAAGCAACGAAACGCAATGATGGACAAAGGATCAGGAAATTCACATCACTATTTTAAAAGATGGTGCCGGGAGAGGGGGGAACGGACTGCTTGAATAAGACTTCGATTCCACTTCGATCCTGGGAGTCGCGATATGTTGAAGTGAAGGTATTATTTACTACACCAATCAGTTTATAACAAAACCTCCGGATGTCGGACAAAATTTTCGACCACGGAAAGAGATTGACCTTTTTAAACTGTTGTTCCCAGTAGTTGTTGCAATAAGACACACGTTCCTGTTTGCTGAGCATTGTTAAGGCCGATGGCATGGAATCAAATCCCGGAAGTCCAACCTGTTGAAACATTTATACACACGATAAGAAGGTAAATCTCGCTCCTTGCGTGATACGTCGAAGTCATTTAACATTTAAAATAGCGAGGATGGCAGCACGCTTGACCACCACAGAAAAAAGATGAAGTGTAACCTTCTCAACTAGAACGCGCAGGGCCACTTCTGTCGACTCTCCAATCTTGTCATATGCACCCTTCTCTGAGTTGTATTGTAATTTCGAGTCATTGCAAAGTGCGGAGCACATTGACAAATGAAGCAGGCAAGGCAAGTCAGCTGGATGCTCCAGCTGTATGAGACACACATGCAGGTATCGGTCAACACCAAACGAGTTGCCAAAAGATCCTCGAGGTAATCTAATTAGCATATTTTGTTGTAGGAAGATTGATCCTACGACCAAAGACTGCACTCTAGTACAACAAATAGGCGTTTGTGTCCATTTTGTATTGAGGCAAGAATGTAGGACACATCAAAATTTCAATAACCACACTCAAAAGCGGGGGGGAAAATCCAGACCTGAACTCCTGTGGAATCACGTATAATGCCGTCTGGAGCATATGTTGTTCCGGTTACGTCATATTGCGCTACGATAGGTCCACGATGTGCAGAACGCACAACACACACCTGTTACCAAGGTGTCAACTCTCTACCTTCAGAAGACTACCCACAAGAGTGAAAACGATATCTCCTCCTAAAGATTATAATTGTTTAGTTCAAAGGCTGTCATGGCAACTTGACTCTGGCCTAATAGGTGCGTAAACCCTGGATTATTTGGACGTCAGTGAACATCTGTTCTGAAAAAGAAACAGCAATTATAGGAGGATTATGTGTCTCAAGATTGTAGATTTAAGTGCTGAAGTCTACCTTGGAAATGGACATCATGTTTGTTGTAAGAGTGCCTGTCTTGTCACTACATATGACTGTGGTACAACCCAAAGTCTCCACTGAGGGCAGAGAGCGCACAATTGCATTCAATTTCGCCATCTTTTTAGTGCCAAGGGCCAGACAGCTGCAGCAGCAGACTGACCGTTAGTACACGTATGATACGAAATACATAACCACGCTCATCTCCAGATTGTTTGGGTCGGAGAAGAAATATTGTAGGCATCCAGATATCTAAGATACTGACAAACTCATGAAGCAAATCTACGTACGTTGTGACAACAGCAGGAAGTCCTTCCGGTATTGCTGCCACCGCCAGTGCCACAGCTATCTGATCGAGATACCAGTTACCAAGTCAAAAAGATTGTGAGCTATTAGAGTTGATGCTTTGAAGATTCAAAGCATTCATTTCGCATGTGCTGTGCCTGGCTCATGCAGACACAAATCAAGAGCGGAAACAAACCAAACCACCGTCGTGAAAACAAACACCCGAAGTGAACGTGAACGATCTTGAGAAGAATATTGCTAACCTTGAAGTAGTATATTGCTCCGCGTACTATGCCTCCATGTGCTGGATCTCGAAAGTGGCCGATGTTCACTATCCAAACCAGAATACAAACCACGGCAATAACCTGGAATGTTCAAATAAAATAATAGAAATCATCAACTTAACGACACTGACCATAAAACCAGCAATTAGCACCAGCTGACATGTATTATTCCCTACCCGAGATCCCTTATTTTCGAGATAAAAATACTCATAATTATGAGATAATCTGAACCTTTCTTTCTTTGAAAGCATAAAGCCATCTAGCTGGAACACTTGCAGATTGCTTTATACTCGTAACAGTGCAAAGCTCTCTGCAACTTTCCCTGCTTCGTGAGTGTGTTGGAGTTATACAAGTTAGCTTCAACAAAGGAACAGGGCCGGTGAGTCTTGATTTTGAGTCTACCTTTGAAAGAAAAGAACCGAACTCATCCAGCTTTTTCTTCAGAGGAGTCATCTCCTGCAGTCATTCAATACCCCATTGAGTTTACTATTTCACACTGCAATACTCTCGGAAGGAGAAAGTATAGAATACATCTGTCCATCAAGAGCTGATTAGAGAACAAAGCAGCTCAACCTAAGCTCTGAAGGCCATCCGCTGAATAATGTCATCCAGATGCAAGATACCTCAGTGGCTTGAGACATAGCATCATGAATCTTTCCCATAGCAGTTCTGCTGCCAATACCAACTACCACAGCTCTTCCACGTCCCATTGTAACAACTGTTCCCTGGAAGTTTAACGCATAATAAAATGACCTCAGGATAGGTTATAAAGCTACCGAACTTGGCTAATGTATGCGTTCTAACAAAATGAAACAACCATAACCACTCTTTCGAAAGTGGAAACAGAAGCAATTACGCTGACATAAATGACATAGGTCGTAAGTAATTCTGAATCTTGAAAAACCAGACCATATGCTTAAAAAGCTATGTACGCACTCCAAGAAAGGGAATAAGTCATACAGAGAAGAGGATGTTTGTTTTATCCTGGTACACCACTTTCTGCGACGCAGTTGCTTCTGTACTCTTCCCAACCGAGCAGCTCTCTCCTGAATTGTTGGAAAATTACGATCTCATTTTAGCCCATATACAGCCAAAATCTCTTGGAAAGTATGCACAGAGTATAAACCGATCAAAACAGGAACATTTCCCACCAGTCAAGATCGCTTGATCAACTCGAAGCTGAGACCCCAGAATCTCAACCAGTCTCATGTCTGCAGGTATCTGGCATCCAACTATACAGCCACAAAACAAAAAATTCAGTTCAAGATACAAGGCCTCTAAACTTAACAAAATGGAAGCAAAATCAATGACATAGCCTCTAAACTTTCAACATGGAAGCAAAAGCATTGACATGCCAAGTTCCTCACTCTACCAAATAATGATTTCCATATTTCTAGTTATTGCATACAAACAACTCAACAATTCCCACAGCGATAACAGAACGGAAATGGACATCCACGCTTTCAACAGCAACTATATAGGGACAAACCTGCGACCTCCACAAGGTCTCCAGGAACTAGCTCTGAAGCCGGCAATATTGACCAGAGACCTATTAGATGTCACATCAAGATCACGAAAAAATATTTAATAACTGTCAAAAGGGTCCATCGCTTTGGTACCAAATTATCAAATTAACGATAAACCTTGTCTTTCCATGATTTTAGCCTAAAACACTTGCAGTGTGAAGTGCTACAGCTACTGTCTCTAGATTGTGAAGAGGAAATTTGGAGCGAATGCTCCACAATTGCCAAGTCACATCAAACTACTCACCATTTCTCAAAACTGTAGCGACGTCTGCCTGGTACGCCTTCAGTTCCTGGTATAACAAGGAAAGAGTTCATCGAGTTACATATATGGCAAACAGAAAAAAGACACTTTTTTTTACACTACAACATATTTTCAGTTGTATGGAGGACACGTTAGCAGCAGCAAATGCCTAGCCCTGCAACTAAACACAAATTTCCCTCTATGCTGAATTCTTGTGGCTAGATATCATTAGAATGGACACTATACTGCCAACTACACGGCAGACTTACGAGCCAGAATATATCCCACCTCAAGGGCTTTCTCTGCGTTTGTTTCGGTAATGACCCCTACAGCGGCATTCGCCGCCAGAATCAGCAAAATCACCTGCGATAAACCAAAGATCATCATTGTGAGAAACTTCTGAGAAAAAGGAACTCTGCGAAAGTTTTACTCTGCGTGCATTGAGATAGATCTGACCCAGCTCAACAATGATCAAGCGACATACAACACCAGAAGCGAGACACAACTCCGGTCACAAAAACTCATGAACTTACAGAGGGTTCCACAATAGCCGTGAAGCCTGTGTCGCCGTTCATGATAGCAAGCAGGAATGATACCACTGCCGCTGCTATCAAGATCTTCACCAGCAAATCATCGAACTGCTTCAAAACTAACTTCCAAAACGGCGTACCTGCACCACTCGATCGACAAAATAAGACTCATTAACTTTGCGACCTGCTCAGGAGCCCAAGTCCATCGTATGCCTCCGGGGTAATAAGGTGCGACACGGTTGCAGAATTGAAACGAGGAAAAAGTATGGTACTTTATAATTCCTGATACACTGCACTAGATGGAGGTCTGATACATACCACTTTCCACGGGTAGAACTGCGTAGGAACACCATTTCGGCAAGAAGACGCCCCGCGTACATCACAGTGCAATAACAGGGACATCAGACGAGAAGAGCTTGTAATATCAATGTACAACACGATCAATCCTCAGATACATAACTTAAAAAAAAAAAACTTCCAAGTAACCTTAAAAACAGAGCATTTGAAAAAAGAAAAACCGGGAACGCGGAAATGGGCATACCATTTTGACCGTGAATTGCTCGATATTCTAGGACCTGGAAAAAAAAACCACGCAAAGTTCACACGGAGATTTATGCCATGACCCCTCAGCCAACTTCTCGACTTTTTGTCCCGAAGTGCTTAAATGAACTGGGAAATCATGGAGAAAAAAAGAACAAACTTGTACAGTCTGAACAAAGTGCAAGCAACTTCACCTGACTTTCACTCAGCCCTTGGGATGGATCCACACGGAAGTACTGCAAAACCTGCACAAACAATGTAATATTACTGTCGCATTTGGCTACATCATTCCGGATTTAACCCGCACTTCACCAGAAGACAGAACTTTTACAGACTAAAAATCCACCTTCCTTTCCAAAAGAGACAGAGTACTCCTTGTAGGCCAATAACACATACAAAAAATCATACAAGGCTTGAGATATGAACTTTCTTTTCATGCTCAGAGTTTGCTCACAACTTCAATCCATCTCACTAAGGAGACGAGAAGTGATATCTTGACATCACACAGAGTTCATGCTGATAGAAGGCTTTTTAGTATAAGAGCTTTGTCAAATCCCAGAAGTTTTACAGACCAAAAGCTGATTTGAAGTAGGACTCCTAGCGAAGCGACTGCTGCTAAAAATAATGTCTGGAAGGCAGTTTTTTTAAAAACTCAAATCGTTGCAATTGATGTTAAACTGTGCAACAATCTGCTTCCACCAGTAATGCACAGAACTCTTACTGTCCAGGCTAATGGGTTAGGAATGGAATGGCATAATGCCCATATTGCCCGGCAGAACAAAGCCATCCACCCTCGTTTTTCATTGTGTTCATTATTTACAGACGGACAAAACTCATGCCAAACCAGTTCGTCCACCAGGTTGCTATGCAGTTTTCGAAACATATTCTGAAACTTCAGACGCTGCTTTAACAAGGAATTGTTGATGGATGACTGTTCAAAATGCTTAATTTCGCAAGCAGGTGACCAAGACCGTTCCTTTTCGAAATAAACCGCTACTTTGATGCTAGGATTGCAACACCAACAAGAGCTCCGGATTTTTTAGTGACAAAAAAACATGGTGTTCAAAGCTCCAAAAAATCCTACAACTGACATTCCATGAATTTCCAATCTCTGAAGAAATCGAATTCAGAAAGTTTTTTAATCTGAGCAATTCGCAAATTCCAGCTTCACTACAGAACAAAAAAATCTCTGGCGACTCAGCCTCGGAGAGAAGCCAAACTCATGCTGCCCAAAAATATCTGCATTGAAGCGAGCTTGAATGCAAATTACGACATGCGTGAGGACTCAGCAGCCTAAGAGCGATCCAAGATTTGAAATATTTGAGTTAAAGCTTCAGATCTGACGCGTAAAAGCCACGATCAAGACAGGCAAACAAATCGAACAGAGACGGGAAAAATGGTGCAAACAATTCGAAAGCCGGATCACAGACTGACCTCTAAGACGGATCTTGCATAGGCGTTGTCCATAGCTCCCGGCAACCCGTCCCCCTCGGGACCCAAGCTCGCGCTTGTGACAAAGGAAGCACCCGTCGTGTCTCCGTCTCTAACGTTTCTGTCGGAGAGTTTCCTCTGCGCTCTTCTCTTCGTGTTTCTCTCGTAAAACGATTACTCCGTTGTTCATATCACATCCACCGTTTCCGGCACGGCGACTACCTTTCCGGCAGCATTCCACCGCCAAGGGTGACGGACTCGCCTTGTTTTCGCGCCGCAGAACCTGATTCTCTACCCCACCCTAAGCACGGCAATCACTGTTTCTTGTTTGATTGCATCGCTCCCGCCTCTCCCTTCGGGTTGCTCCGAGAAAAATTTCAACGCTCTTCCCGGCGGTTCCGGTCATCGAACAAATCGTTCGCATGATTCTGTCGAATCTCTTCGTTCAGACTATTCATCGAGGTATCGGTCGGGTCAAGAGCGTAACGCTTCCAGGCTCCGGGAACTGCACTTCTTCGTCTTATTCTTGTAGCACAAAGATGGATCTCTACTTCTAGCTAGGCTCAACCAAATCGTCCGGGCTGTGAATCCTATCATCCTGCCTAAAAATCATGATCCTTTTTTTATAATCGTATCTTGTTGTTGCGTCAGATACAATATGGTTTATTTCCTAATCATTCGTGCGCCAAAAAAATCATCTTGGAATTTAAATGGTGAATGGGAGGAAAATTTGATTTCCGTCCCGTTTGATTTTTTTTGCTAAATTGTCTATAATATGGATGGTTTTCTGTACCGATCCAAATTCATATTAATCCAGATTTAGATTTATGGGGATAACCCCAGTTCCGGAAATATTATTTGGAGAAGCAAACGGCCGGTCGACCGGACGACCGGGTCCTTCTTCTCATCATTGACCTTCTGGCTCCGTGTTGTAGTGCCACCCACCGTCAGTACTCTTACATTTATGACAACGACTCGATGACCGGCCGACCGGACGAGCGGGCAGAAGATTCCGCAAATCGAACTTGCGGCGCATGTCAAGCGCTCGCGCACCGTGTTTCGAGTTTCTGCCACAGCAGGATTTCCAGTACACGTCCGTCGACTTGCTGATCGTGTTCTTGAATAGACGAGTCTATGAATCGAACGCTTTTCAGAACATTCCCTTCGCGCTTGCTGATCTGGATACTCGAGTCCACGTACAGGACAAGTACAGCAAACTCTGATTTACTGCAGTACTCAACGGATGCAGTATGTATCCCTCTGCAATACCTTGTAGTCCGTGGCACCAGTTACGAGGTAAAGGTACTCCCGTCTCCCCGACATTTCCCCCGTGCAGAAGGTTTATTCGTACCTTGCAGCTTTCTTTAAAATGTCGGGGAGTAATAATCGTCCACCACTGAGAACCATTTCTCTAACCACATCACCCGAAGAGGAAGAGGTCGAGCGGGTTCAAAGGAAACTATGATGTCACTGGAAAACCATGATTCTCTCCATCTCTCGACCGTAGGTTTGCCAGGTCATGAATGCAGGTAATACTTCTCCCTGATGCAGGCGTGTCTTGTCATCCCAGCTCGTCCTAGATGGCGTAGAACGTCTGAACCTTTATGCCTGCGTATCTAGGTCACATCGGGGCCTCAACTCACCCAACGCACCGGTACATAAGCTGACGTGTCAGCTCCATCGCTCAGTATGGGGATCTTGGAAACGAAAGCCAGGCAAACATGATAATGCGGTTCAACTAGATGAACGAGGTAACAGTTGTGTACACCACACGAGTGGGGGCAACCATGTAGCAAACAGGGTCCGAACTACAACCATAAACCAAAACCACGTAAATCACATCAAACCGGTCAAAGATAAACCGGGAATCCGGGTCCATGAAACCAGACCGGAAAACAGGGGCTAGAACAACTCGTCATGCAAGGTTCACATTCTATAACTTGAACAACTTCATTCTCAATCAACTAAGTTGGCGTACGCATAATCTAGTTTATATAGTTCACCATGGCCTACATTAAGCAACTTGCACATATGTCTTCCACTATGTACACACATGTAAACAACAGTGTTGATGTACAGATTACACTACTCTACACGGTGATGCTGAAAACTTAGAGCCATGAGTATGAGATCCAAATCAAACTACCGAAAACCGCAATGAAACTATGCCAATAATTAGCCAAGTGTCTAACCACATTTTCTACATTCTGTCCATTGTTCACACACACATCTACTATCCAAGATGTTCCAAGATGTTCCAAACGTCACTCTTTCATTATCAAAACAAATCTCTACATATGAACTCTCTAAATCTATTTCATAAAATTTTTTTTACCTCTCTATATACACTACTTGAAAAATTATCTTAATAATAAATGGTAATTCTTATATAACTTACTTCTACAAAGAGAAATCATAGTAAGTTTGACTGTATCACAATACATGGGAACATGACATTGGCCTCCTAAACCTTCTAGAAGTTTATTCATATTTAGATAGAAGTGTTAACATGTCATTGGTGACTTTTCAACATTAAATTTATTATAGTCAGTTTTCCTTTGACAGTGGTAGTGAAATAAAAAAATTTCAATCTAAGGGGAACCGGTTTCATCTATGAGGTAGAAAATTTGGAATATGCGTCTCTTATTGTGATTGTGAAAAATAATGATAAAGTATGTGTATGCTAAGATTACAAAAATATGAATGTTGTCACAAAAAATATGACTATACTTTTACCTTTTATAGATAAGTTTCTAGAGTAGATAGCAAGTCATGAGTAATATAGTTTTGGAAATGTTTATAAAAACTACAACCAAATTCAAATTGCTTAAGAATATCAATTGAAAACGAATAGAATCACATCATATACAACTTTTGACATTAGAGTAATATAATTTTGTTATGTAATGCTCCGGCCATTTTTCAAATATTCATGAATATTGAGTTAAAAAATTTCATTGAAAAGTTTGTGCAAGATTTCATACATTATTTTTGTATTTATGAGAGGAAGTAGTATCATTTTGATCAAAATATTCCAACGTTTGCAAAAAGTGAAAATTTTACTTGATCCAAAAAAAAATTAATTTTGTAAGATTTATCATTAGGATACATCATTTCTAAGAAAAATATAGTAATGGATCGAGAAAATATGACAAGAATCATAGAATTAACTTTTCTAGTGACTTTGACCAAGTAGAGACTATTCATTGGTATGATGGGATACTATTAAAGATTCATCTTGTTACTCCAATAAAGTTCATGCCTTGACAAGCTACACGAAGAAGTGAACTAAATACAAGTTCATCTTCAAGAAGAAAGAAGCAAAATTGGTGTTTGAGTCACTCAAGAAGTCGTTGGTAAGGTCACCAATTCTCGCAAAACCTGATTGGGGTGAACCTTTACTTCTGTATACAGATGCAACAAATATTGTTGTAGATTGCGCCTCTAGTCAATTACGTGATGAAAGCATGATCATCCAATTGTCTATGCTAGTAGACAGATTGTACAAGCAGAAGAAAACTACTTAGTGATTGAAAGTGAGATTTTAGCATTAATCTTTCCACTTAAGAAGTTTTCACATTATTTGTTGGGTGGAATTATCACTGTAGTGACAAATCACAAGACTTTGAAATGTATTTTCAACAAGCCTCATGATGAGGGAAGTTGTTGCAGACGGCAACTCCTTGACGGAACCTGATCAGAAGTGGAGGAATACCTTAAACAAGAACGAGAACAGACTAAAGGTGAGGGGATTCCTCACAACAACTCAACTAAGATTCAAAGATGAAAGAATTAAATTGATAACCGAAAGCGTATCCACAACTGGTGTTGAAGAGAGTGAGGAACATCGTCCTTTATCTCTCTATTTATACTAGACTATGCTTAGGTTTGCTTCGCATTCAAGGCAATAAATAGTTGCTTGCGAAGCTTCCTAAAACAAGAATATCTAGTAACTAATGGAAGGTTCATGAACCTTCTATAAACTACCTAAAGTTAATCGTAGACTTAAACATCGATATTCTGGAATCTACGTGTCTCACGGATACTCGTGGAGAGTACTCACGGATAACGGAGTCTCCAGATTTTGACGAAGCAACCGTACCTTGTCTCCAATAGATCTCTGAGGATGTTCCTTGCGAGACTTGTCAGCATATCTCCTGATGTCGCTGTGCTTCAATGAGACTCTGCTTCATCTGATCTGAATATCGGATAATCGGATAGCAAGATCTGTAGCAGTGGGATTTTTGAAAATATTCAGGTTAAGTTGATCAAACCTTGAATGATGACCGTAATTTGCAAAGAAAGCGATCTGTTGTGTAGACCCTTGCAACGTGTTGTTGTAAGCAAACTCAGTAAGCGGCAACAAGTCCGTCCAATTATCTTGATGGTAGTTGATGGTACATCGCATGTACTTCTCTAAAAATTGATTGACGTGCTCTGTCTGGCCATAGGTACGAGGATGATATGTTGAAGATAACTTAATTTCAACTCCTAGAATCTTGAATAGAGATTGCCAGAACTTCAATGTGAATTGCGCTCCGGGATCAAAGATGATGTTGTTAGGTAAGCCATGAAGTCTATAGATATTGTCTACAAAGAGCCTTGATGTTTCTTCACCAGTCACAGTCTTGTGGCACAGGATGAAGTGTGCCATCTTGGTGAATCGGTCAAAAACAACAAAGATGGAGTCAAAGGTTCTGTACGGTGGAAGGTCCATGATGAAGTCCATGGATATGGATTTCCATGAGGTTGAAGTAATCCGTATGGTCGATGACGAGGGATCTTGGATCTAAAGAAAGTGTCACACGTTGTGACGTAATCCTTCACGGTTCTTCACATTTATGGCCACCAAAAGTCTCTAGATATCAGCTCCATGATTTTGTTGTAACCAAAGTGTTCCACCGATGGGAAGTCGTGGCGAGACTGGAGCACTCGGAGTCGGCATGGGCCTTCAGGGACATAAAGTAATCCCTGGTAGTATAATAGCCCATCTCGGAATTATAATCTTGAATCTTGAATTGTAATCTTGAATCGTCATCTCTTAATGTTTCACGCGATCTAGAAACTTGTGAACTTGAAGTAGGTTGATTCGGGTATTCCGAATCTATAACCTCTGAATCAGAAACTTGAGAGTCAAGACTTGGAATTTCTTCA